TAAAACTAATTTCGAAAAAATTATAAGGATTGAGGACTTGATCTGCAATAAATGACCCATTTCATTAAGGGTAAAACTGACTTTTTAACAAAAATCTTAAAAAGCCACTATTCATAGGTCATTTTGCAAAATCTCCCCCTTTGATCGGTGCATTTTTAAAAGAACTCCGAATATTGCATCAACACTGTTCATGAAAGCAAAAGAAAAGACACTTAAAAGTGCTGGAAGGGGATGAAGAAGCGCCCAAATCTGGAGTGCTTTCTTTACCTTTTATGGTAAGTTCAGTGCATTTTTCATTTTGATCTTCTACTTTCCCCTCTAATCTTATGGAGATTCGACAGTCTTTAGTTGTTTCGTTGTTGTAGATCTTCGAATGATTAAAATTTTAAATTTAGAAATCTCTCTAGTGATGAGAAAAAATATAATATATTTGTGTGCTTGTTTACTTGCACAACTCCGTGGGTTGAAAAAGAGAAAAGAGGCAGTTGATGAAGAAGCAAGGCTTGCTCTTGAGGATTATAAGTCATCATTGAAGCAATTGGAAGGTAAAGGTGGGCAACCAAGTCGTGACATGGGAGCCTTAAGTGGTAGAAGGGTTTTTGGTGTTCGTAAACAGCAGGTTCAGGAAACAAGTAAGAAGGTCAAAACAGATAATTACTATGGAGAAAGTGATAGTAAAGTTGAATTTGGGGACAAGGAAGACGAGGACAGTGAGCATGGAAAAAATCATCTTTCTGTAAGAGAAGTAAACATTGACCCTGATTTACTTCGTGAAGAGTCTGAGATCAGTCATGATCCTGTGTTTAAGGTGATATACCTTCCTTCCAACCTTGTTTTATTGCCTACGTATGGAAGGGTTAGAACTTAGATGGACATTCGTTCATCTATTTATTAAATGTCGAAACCCACATAATTTTATGGTTATTTCTTTGAAGTCTATAATGCATTGTCACAGAGGGCACCAGTCCACTGCTCCTCTTTAGAAACAACGCACGCTCTCAATGACAAGGCGCCACTCTCTTTCTATGTGTTATTCCTGCTTCTTTATGATTTTGTCCAGCAGTGAGCCACCCCCACCTCACCCCCACAACAATAAAATAAACAAGAAAAAATATAAAACTCGGGCCTTCTTAGCAGATGGAGAAGGATCTGCAAATGAATTCGTATTATTTGGCTAAGAAGCTGGAACCTCTTCTTCTCTAATTAATCTTATTTCATTCATTCTCCTATGATCACTAGCATCCATCAGTGTTGAGCATAAAAGAGCTTTTAGTTGCATGAGAATTATTCATCTTCTTTTCAAAATATGGAGCTGTTGAGAAATAAAGTGCATGTTTGGCTAAGCTTTAAAAGTTCACTTAAGTTAATAAGTTGTAAAATAAATAGTTATTTTTATTGGTCAAAGTTGAAATTAACTCTTTTTTACTTAAAACTAAGTTATTTAATATGTTTGGAGACGACCTTTTCTTTCTTTCAAGCTTTAGCTGGATGTGCTCTAAGTTCCATTTTAGCACAAGTAGCTTACTTCTTTACTTATGGACAGGTGGTGAAGAGAGCTGGTGTGAGCATCAAACCTAACCAATTTCAGGATGTGAATCCCCATGAAAAAGTGGAAAATCATAAGCGCAAGGGACAGAGGCCAAGCAAGGGTAAAGATAAGAGTCGATCTATGAAAAAAAAATGAATGTGAAGAAGATAAAAGCAAAGTGATACTGAAATTTTGGCTAAAAAATATTGCAGTACAAATATAGAATTGCCACTAGCGGAGTTTACTTTCTTGTGTTAGGATGAGGTTTGTTAGCTTCAATTTAGTGGGAATCTCAAGTGTCATTGGATTGGAGGAGGTTTCTCCCTCATTCATTTGTCTGTCTGTGTATTTTTATATAGATTTTGGACATCAATTTAGAATTTACGTAGACAATGTATCATATTAGTTCATGTGTAATTTCTTTTCATAAGAATTGGTCTAAAGGATTTGAATTCCTACACTTTAAAGGTA